GGTCTCTTCTCCCAAGTAACTGGCGAAAGGATGAGAGGAAATGGCCTCAAGTTGCGCCAGGGGAGGTTTAGATTGGATGTGAGGAAAAATTTCTTTACTGAAAGAGTGGTTAAACATTGGAACAGGCTGCCCAGGGAAGTGGTTGAGTCACCATCCCTGGAAGTATTTAAAAAACGGGTAGATGAGGCGCTTAGGGACATGGTTTAGGTTTAGTGGGCATGGTGGTGTTGGGTTGACGGTTGGACTCGATGATCTTGAAGGTCTCTTCCAACCTTAATGATTCTATGATTCTATGATTTTATTTCAATTATTAAACTGTTTTTATCTCAACCCACGAATTTTTCTCACTTGTGCTCTTCCAATTCTCTCCCCCATCCCATCGGGTGGGGGGGAGTGAGCGAGCGGCTGCATGGTGCTTAGTTGCCGACTGAGGTTAAACCATGACATTGAGCTTGCCCAGGTCCCTCTGGATGGCATCCCGTCCCTCAGGGGTGTCAAGCGCACCACTCAGCTTGTGTGGTCCTTATTGTGTGGTCCTTATTGTAACTGAAAATATAAATCTGTCTAAGTTAAAAAAACGTGTTTACTCATCTCTCAATATTCAAATTTACCTTTGTGCATATCTGGTTTTTGTTCTTGCTGTTTCCTTCGCATATATGTATCTGAAAGTCCTCACTGAAAACAGTCATTTGTATTAGGCAGCACTCTTCATTCTTAAGCTCTTATCTATTTAAAAAATCATGTAAATGTGAAGCTTTAAGGCCTGATTTCTGCAAAATGCTCTCTGCTTTGAGATCATGTATGAATTCATACTATATGACATTGGTAGACACCAATCCATATTTCTTGAAGCATGTATTATTATAAAATCTTGTACGTTCTCTTGTGCGCTTCCTCTTAAATGCAGTATGTATTAGATTGCTGCCATTGTTCTTAATAATTAAATATAGGCATGTAGTATTTTGTCTCTCTATACATATGTAACATGGAGTGACATTTAGAATAAGTCTAAGGCAATTACATTTCATCCGGGTTTTACGTAAAAATTTGAGTTCAGTCTTTAAATGAATAGGACTGGAGCTGAGAGGTGCCAATGGTGAAATAAGCTGTGTAGTTCTCTTGATATTTCAACCACTTTGAAAGGATCTCATAAGACTATGCATAGCACTTTTGAAAAGCATATTTTTCTGCCCGCTTCTCAAAAGGCCAGCATTTAACACAGAAGTATTCCAATTATCATCCACTCTCTAACTCTGTCCTCCGAGACAAAATTAAAAGAAAGCAGTGATGGCCATTCCTCGATAACATGTAAAATCTATTAATATCTGAGATGTAAGCAGCATGCCAAGTGTAACTAAAAGATTTCTGTTGATGTGGAAGGAAGTCACAAATCTACTGGAGAAGAAAGCAGAGTGTTTTCTTTGTAAGCAACAAGAATTAGTTTTCATTTCTGTTGTAGTTTTCTATGGATCACTGAACTTACTTACAGTCTCAGGTGTTAAACAGTTTTGTCTTGCATTGAAAAAATATTTTGTAGGCAAACCAAAAAGTTTAGAGAAATGCAAATAGTAAAGTAGAAGTGTAAACACAAGGAACTTTTCAGAGCAATGAAGTCATATCTACAATACACAGTGTGCCATTGTCATTAGAGAAAAAGATGAGAAAAGAACGGTGACCGCATAGAAATCTGAACTACTGAAAACCCAAGTTTTATTTCCTCTTTCAGCTGCTTTGTTTAGCAAAGAGGCCTGCAAAAAGTTAACGCTTAGATTAAAAGACTTGCCCATGGCCAAAACTGAATACTATCAAAATTCATTATTTAGGTCATTATTAAATGATTAGAGAAAAAACACCTACTTCACTTTGTGCCAAGATTGCTTAAAAACTTGCTGAACCTAGATTTTAATTAGTGCTATAGCAGAAGGAAGAGTATATCTAGCCTGCTGAATGCAGTTACTAGCTACCAGGGCTACATGTTCCCAGAAAGCTCTTATAAGGAAATGAAAAGAAAGAAATAAAAAAAATCTGAAGGAAGTTTGATGATAAAACCTGAACCTTCCCTCAAAATGGTTTAAGAAATGTGGGAAGAGTGTTACAGAAGATCTGTGAAAACCTGACATAGTTTATAAGTAGAGGCAATCCTTCTCAGACAGGTATTAATTTTAAATTTATCTTATCGGAATATTTTAATTCCCGTATTGGTTTGGATCCAAGGAAAGAAAAATAACTCTGTCAAGAATTTAAGGAAGATGCCAATGAAGATGTAGTACTACAATATTTCATAATAAAGATGGCTAAATATGTGGAAAGAAAATAAAGGAATAATATATGTTAACTACTGAAGCATTGTAAACTTTAAGTACTTAAAATAAGCTATTTTCCCTCATAACTAGGTATTGGATTTTCCTGAGGGGTAGGTAAATATCTCATTTGATTATGATGTAGTGCTGCTTTTATAAGCTTTACACATTTTTGCATCTGTGACACCACACTTTTTGGCTTGTTTAAATGCACAAGCACGTTTTTCCTGAAGACTGTAACAATCCTGTATGTAAAACATACCAGTTCTGATAAAAGTTTCCTATCCAAAAAACTATAGAGAAACTGGTACATTCACAAGCACTGTATCATGCCCTAACAAAAGTCCCTTCTAATAAACTGGCCTAGTCTCAAACAGTCTTTGTTTTTCAGGACTGAAGTAGAGGTTACACCTACCTAACGTATTTTATTTTAAGATTTTATTTTATCGTAACATGAAACTGTTAAGGCATCAATATTCAGTCTTAAGCAATCTAAATATCAGATACACAAGTTCATTGCTTGGATATGGTTATAATCACAAGACATGGTTGTTATTTCTTAACTGTTATTTTAGCGTACTGTTCATAAAGTGCATTTCTAAAGCTGTTTTACTATTTTTAAAATGTATTCACACTTGGTATTTTGAGTGGACAGTTAAATGGAATGATTCCTATTCAGAAGACATAAAACAGAAGAGATGTCTCACCCTACATTTAGCTGTCCAAATGATCTTGTATAAATGATGGCTTCTTGAATTCTTTAGTCTGATAGGAATAGAAAACAAGTCACTGAACTACCTGTTTTACTGGAAGCAAATTTCATACCTGAAATGTAACATTGATTTTTCTACTGTGATGCAAAAAACCCCCAAATATTTACAATGTTTTACAATGACAGAATATATATCACGTAAACTTTATGCGCTTCTTTGCTTTCTCTTTTAATAGGAACTCATAACCACGTTGTACATTGGATTCTTGGGATTAATTTTTTCATCCTATTTTGTTTATCTTGCTGAGAAAGATGCAGTTAATGAGGATGGAAAGACAGGTTTCTCCAGCTACGCTGATGCCCTTTGGTGGGGTGTGGTAAGTCTTTACCAAGAAAATGCATGTGCAAGCCTAGTGCACAAGTTTTTCTGTTGAAGTTGTGATCTTTTTAAAAAAACTGGCATTTCTTTCTTTGCAGAACGTCTTTCTGTAGGGAAGCTCAACAACCTTCTAAAAAGGATACAAGAAAAAAATAATAAATGCAATTAAATTATTTTGGTATTACACTTTATTGTGAAAGCACGATAGCAAGTTCTTAGCAAAGGACATTGAATGTTTACAGATACAAGAAGTCCACATTGAAATCCACATTTCAAAAAGAGTATAAATACCCTTCACAACCTATACCACTTCTTTTAAACTCTACTTAGTTATCTGCAAAAGGTGTATAACTTTAAAAGTATATTCTGTTTTTGGAACTTGGGTTAATGACTCTGTTTTTTCAGATCTTTTTGTCTAAAGCTCACCCTCTCAATAATAATGCAGACCTTGATGCAGGTTACAAGTTCCTGTTTTTTTTTTAATAATTCCATGATGCAGTGTAAAGGTAAATAGCTCCATCAAAAGCAGCTGGCAAAGCTTCACAGATTCATCACCTACTTCGGATATCAATCATCAGTCAGGGTCAGTGCAAATCTTTGGTGAAATAAAGAAAAAAATATCATTAAGGGGGAACTGGGATTTTGAAAGCATTGTGGTAATTATTGCGTGCATGCCCAGAATCAGTTGAAAAGGAATAGATAGCTATGAACAGAATAAGAGACCAGATTGTTTCTACACTCCCTTCATATATATGGCTCTTCTCATTATGTTTCTCACTGTTTTCCTTCCTTATTAGCTGTTGCATTATCCATCTCTTTTCTTGTGGTCCCTTTTCCCCACTAGAGATCCTCATATGTTTTATGAGTTGGCTGTCTCATTATAACAAACCCAAGGATCCATCGCATCAGTGTTAGTGACAGAGAAAAATGAGAGGACTAGAACAGATGCAGAGCCACCAACTTCCAGAGAGGGAAGGATATATTTCAAGAGTGATTTGAAAAACAATAAACTGGATTTGTTCTTAAATGATAGACTTGAAAAATGCCACTATAGTTATTGGGCCATAAACCAATTGTTTACCTGCATCCAAATAAACTGGTGAGAAAGTCTGGGAAGTCAGACAAAAAGTTCCTAATAGATATATGTTTCTAATCCTTAACATGGATGCTGTGTAAGCCTCTACTTCAAGAAATACAGATTATATTACATGTAGCCCGAGTTGCTACTTTTTAAATGGTTCAATATAAAAATCTTTTAGACATTAAATTCCTGTCATTAGGTTGTCAGGTATTCCTTTCATTTGCAGAGTATCACCTATGGCTGTGCAAAACAAGCCAAGAAGAATCTAGTGAAAAAGAAAAATCCACTAAATTGCCAGATGGACCTGATTATCTTATGTGCTGGGAAGAAACGAAACCATGAACTAGTCCATACAACAATCACTTGTTAAAGTCCTCAATAGACATATGATAAAATTTTCAGAACATAAAACCTCATGGTTATAGACATGAGATAACCTCTAGCTAGTGGAGGAAAAGAATAGATGTCCCAGAAGCACAGATTGTGCTGTATTTTAAAAGCAAAAGTAAAACAATTAGGGTGTAATTGACATTATGAAAGCTACCCCATGCCTACTTTAAGAAAACAAACCAGTACACAGTCTCACTTATTCTGCTATTATTTGAGCAGCTCAGCTCAAATACCCGTGTTCAAATGACTGAACGCAGTGGAACGCAGCTACTGTTTCTGTTTTTACTAATGGTCTGGCTGAATAGTCTGTGAAGTACATCTAATTAAAAGTGGGGCTGCTTGTGAGAAGTTCAGCAGCATCAGGGGCTCCCATAAAAGTTTGTGCTAGTTCAGCTAAATTTATGAAAAATATCTCATAAATTTTTCTAGCATAGTGAAGTTCCAAAGAGGTTTGCAGCACCATGTGAATTAGAATGACACCAGTGAAAGAAATGGAAAGCATATAGTTTATTAATAAGGAGGTCTTAATTTAATATGTAATCATTGAAGGATGGTGATTCATGTGTGCTCTGCACAATGTCTTTGGTGTTTCATAAAGTAATTCCTAGGCCTGTAACTGCAAAAGGCCAGAAATGTCCAAGTTCAGACCTGAATGGGAGGGAAGAAGAACGACTTACCAAACTAAGGGGAGCAAGGTACAGTGGAAAACAAAAAGGGATTTTCAGCAATCAGTTTGGGAACTAGCTATGGTTTTTAGCATCCAGTTCTGCCCATGTGTATTCATGCATGGGTATTCCTGCATGTCATAAAGCTTCCATACGAAGCCAGTGTACTTTTTCTACCTTTCCTTCTTTTTTATGTTTTTAGTTCTAGTTATCCAGAGCTTGCTTTATGAGTTGCATTGAATGTTTAGATATGGATTACAAAATATTTTTAAATGCTAGAAGCTACAGCTTTGATTTGAGTAAAGAGTAAAAAATTAAGGTCAAAAAAGTCAGGATGTGTTTATACAAGCATATTTTGTTAATATTTTGAACTTAAGGAATTTAAAAGGAGTTCAGTTATGAAGACCAGCAGATAAGTTTAAAATGTGCATTACTTTACCTTGTTGAGATAGATGACTTGGAATCTGTATTTCAAAGTGTATGTATATGCCTTGGGAAGTGTTCAATGGGTTTTGTTGTTGTTTTCCAAAACTTGACTTGTTTTGTGTAATAGCAAGATAAAATCAGCTTTGTCTTTCTCTAGCTGTGTGAGGCACATGAAGAACACTGTTTAAATTGTTGTTTAAGCTTTTCAGACGTCTAGGCCTCCTCAGCATTAGTGAGTCACGGTGCAGGTGCAGTTCACAGCTGGGAACAGTGACAAAGGACAAAGTGAATCAGTTTCTTTTTCTTTTCAAATCTTCTGTAACATAGAAACACAGATGTGGAGTTACTAGGGAGTGAAATTTGATTTCACTTTTGCCTTTCAAAACTGAACCATAGGAAAAAAAGTCTTGGTAGCAAGTATTTGAAAGTCTTATGTGTCTGACAAAAACCACAGAGTGTATTATGGGTAACATTTTGCTTTGAGTAGAAAGTGCAAGCTTGCTGAACTTGATACAAATGACCTGAAAGGTTTAAATATGAAGAAAAGGGAAAATAAAGAATGAATGAGAGTTGGAATTAAATGCTAACTACATTCACCCGCTCCAGTTAAATGCAAGGTTGTTTCACTTAGATTTGGCAGGCACACAGATTAAACTGCAAAGACATATCGAAGGCTTGTGTTATTTTATATGAAGCCACTTTCAGAAGTTATAGCATGTTAGAACACATGCAAAAGCATTTCCAACAGCACTGTCAGTCTGCTAAAATTGTAACCCATGTCACAGCAGTTTTTCTGTCCTTTCTGGGTATTTTTTCTTGAGGAAAGAAGAAGGGCATGTAGGAGGCTTCTCTTCTGTTGGCTCTTCCATGCTCGTCTCTTGCTGTTGGTAATGCTTATTGTTTTTGCTGCAAAATGGACTGTTCTATACCATTGAACTTGAGTTAAATAATTGCTCCAGTACATTGGTGTTAACTGGCAGATCAATTAACTTGGGATCAATTGCTCAGAACTTCCAGCAGTAAATTTCCATGCCAGAGGTAGCAGTTTGAACCCCTTTATATTTAATATGTTTTTTGAGGTGTGCAGTTCTGACTCTTCAAACTTCAGGACACCTGCCTATCTTAAAGCACGTGAGAAGCTCTGTTGACTTCTACTAAATTAGAGTTCCTCCTTTTTTGAAGTGTACATACATGTTTTCAGAGCCTGTGTTAGAGCATGTGCATACCAGCTGGAATGTGCCATAGTAAATCTGTGTTACGAAGGAGGTGTCATTTTCCAAAGCCTAGTTATTAAACATTCTCTGAGCAGATAACTAATAACTTTTGGATATACAAGCAGAAAAAGATTCTGGTTGTGATTAAGAAAGCCAGAGAATTACATTATTTATAATCCTTTCCACATACTTCAATGCACTAATTAGATTACCAAGAAGGAACCCTCTTAAGGTAGCCAAAAAGAAACTTTCTGAGACATGTTCAGGCACCTGCAGGAATCTGCCAGCCAAATGCCTGCTGTAGAAATGGAAAATCATCTTTTCTGTGGTTACAGCTTTCATGCTGTCTTCCATAGTAACGCTAAGGCAGCTCAACATTACTGCAGTTTGTTTTTAAGTCCTGAGTGCTGGAGAACTCAAAAAAAAAAAAAAAACAACCAACAAACCACACACACAAAAAAACAAGAAGCCTTTCATAAGAAAAAAGAGAGGAAAAGGAAGGAAAAATCCCAGACTTTAAGGGTTCATCTGGGTGCACTGAGGAGCTGAAGTGCCGTTGAAGAAACACTGCTTTAACTTCCTGGAAAACCCAAAAAAAAAAAAAAAAACAACCAACAAACCACACACACAAAAAAACAAGAAGCCTTTCATAAGAAAAAAGAGAGGAAAAGGAAGGAAAAATCCCAGACTTTAAGGGTTCATCTGGGTGCACTGAGGAGCTGAAGTGCCGTTGAAGAAACACTGCTTTAACTTCCTCCACTCCCCACTAACACATACTGCATTTCAAAGTTGAATTTTGGGGAGTCTGGTTTAATTTTGGGGGCTGGCAAGCCCATCTGTTTGTACTGCTGGTAGCACACAGCACCTGAGTCACTTCACAGGCAAGCCATATTAAATCTGGACAAACACCTGGCAAGACAGAGCTCCGGCTAAGAGCAGTTTGCAGTTCAAAATAACAATATTCATTAGAGGATATAGATACTACAAAGTTGACTTCATCTACTGAGAAATTAGTGATGAATAAACACAAGCCTAATTTGTTTTGAACTTGGAAAAACTCAGTTTGATAGTAGTTCGTCATTTTTCCCTGCAAATCTTCCTTCCAGCTCTCCGTAGAACTGCTCTGAGAAGAGGATGAAATATTTTCTTCCCATGCCTTTATTGCTGATAGTTTCTTCTGAGAAGACTATTTTTGCATAATATCTAAGTATTTGTCAGCAACTTTTCCCATAAAAGGCACTATTTCCACATCTTCTTTGGTAGTCAGTATAAATTTACATATTCTTTTAAGTCTGTTTTGGCTGTATTTCTGCTACCATTCAAGGCAAAGTGAAGGGAGTGGGACTGGGTTTAGGGCTGGTGCTCCCAAATAGAAGTACATTTTTTCTATTTAAAGCTCTCCCCAGCGGTTGGTATTGGCGACAGAATTCTTCATTTCTTCACCAGAAGCTTTCCACTTCTCAGGGTACAAGTCATCCTTCTCATACCATTTTATGGCAGTTTCAGGGCTTTGAATATGCTAAAAAGCCTTAATGGCTCTGACCAGCCACACCTGGGGCCACTCCAACACTCACGGCCCAGGGCCTCTAGGCTCAGCCTTGGGTACTTATTTCCTGCCTGAGGTGTGCTGGAGGAGAGCTGGTCTCCAACTCAGCCATGGTCTGGTGATCTGGAGCTCAACCTGTGGGCTACCTTCCATGCTTGACCTCAGACTTACCTCATCACCTTGATACTGCTGTATGATTTAGACTCTTTGTTGGACATGGCCACTGTCTGTGAGTCTATCCTGCTGTGGGGCTGGCCCAGGGTGGTGAGGCTCCTGTCTGGCCCGCTGTGGGATTCTCTTGGCTTGCCTTGAGATCCCTCCTTGGGATCACCTTCTGTTGGGGAGCAGCTGGCCCTTGTTACATTACAAACCTTTCTGATGGACAGGCCTTCACCTGGACTCTGATTCCCCCACAGCAGCAACCCTTTACTGACCACTGGGCTCCTAATGAATTCTCTTCTAGCCTGCTGGGGCTCATCAGGAACAGCCCAAAATCTCTGTCTCACTCAGGCACTCCTTGCATCTGTGGCTTTCCAGGGGTGGCCTGACACCCCCACGGTGATTTAGTCCCTCTACAGTAAGTCCTTAACTGATCCTAGACCTGTGTGAGGACATGCCTTGCTGAGAGGGGAGGCTGTTGTCATGGCCTTGAGGGCACTAATTGGCCTAATGACCCTGACCAGCATCATCTGTGGCCTCTAGCCACACCCAGGGGCTCTATTTAAACTCAGCACTCTGCTGGAGGAGAGGTAGTCTCTAGCTCAACTGCAGCTGTGTCTGGTTATGGTGTTGCTTGATCCTGACTGCAACCCACGGGCTGATATCTTGGTTTTGCCTCATCTCTGTTGATGGTCAACACATGTTGACCACTAGACCTGATCCTAACCCTGACCTGTTAGTGGACTTCTGGCTTGATATTGGACCTGCCTCGTTGCTGTGATATTGCCTTATAACCTGGATTCTTGGTTGGACCTGGCTGTTTTCTGCACGTGCTTTGCTTGGCTGCTGCAGGACTGGGTCCTGACTGGGGAGGCGCGGCCTTGCTGGTTATGTTATCTCTTGACTCTGGGCTTCCCGTCCCTTACGGAGTACTTGGCCCTTGCTGCACCCTGATAAGCAATGAGCAGATCTAGGTACAGTAATATGATGTATCCTGTGGCTTAAACACAATTTTGAGTGGCAAAGAACTGTATTTGTGGGGGGAGGAAAAGAAGCTGAGTGTGGGTCTCAGCTGTATGTAGCTCTCGGTCTACTGGCAGAGATACTCGCTTTGGGAGATAACATGTCCTAGAATGGTTGTGTGTTCCTCCTCTTGCTATGAAGATTCAGCTGGGATGGTGTTAGTTCTGTCCCTTTTCCTTCCTGCCAGCACAGGGCATAGCTTACCCTGCTGCAGCTAGTGTCTGCCTGACTACAGAGTTTGGCAGATGTATGTGCACTGGTTATGTGCAAGTCAGCACTTTCAAGGCTTTCTTCTCAACCCTGCGGAACTACATTTTAAAAGCAAAAGCAGAAAAACTGCAAGCCTATAGTTTCAAGCCCACAGGGCCAACAATCCTTGCAGCTTTCGGAAGGTGGAAGCAGCTAGCTACAAACTGTGAGAACAGCCATCCTGGGTCCAGACTACTGTTGTATCCAAACCAGTGGCCAGCTGTGAATGCCTGCTGAAGAATGTAAAAGCAGGATAAATCTGCAGTGATGTTTAGTGTACTCCTATGGTTTCCTTATGCACAAATCCAAACACTGTTGATCCATATATATCTCCTGATACTTCTCTACTTTTTTTTCTTTCTTTTTTCCTGCTTTTGGGGGAAAAAGGTACTGCATTGCAGTGAATCAAATGTTTGTTTCTGGCCTAGGTAACGGTCACAACAATTGGTTATGGAGACAAAGTTCCCCAGACGTGGATTGGGAAGACAGTAGCTTCCTGTTTTTCAGTATTTGCTATATCTTTCTTTGCTCTGCCAGCGGTAAGTAGAACTTGGACCACTTTATTAAAGTGTCTGTCTGACTTGGGCTCACAATTAGGTAGTTTTAAATTGGTGCCTTTGATAGGAAATAATGGGGTTGGGTGTTGCTTCAGAATGTGCACGTACACGTCCTCAAGTGTACATTTGTGTGTTTGCACACATGCACAAATGCATGAAACTGCTGTATCTTTACTGCAGTCATTTTAGAGAGTTGCGGCCTAGAAAGGAGGTAAGAATAATTTTCACTACTCAGAGAACTGAAGCTATTCTGTGAAGTAAAGAGAAAGAGAGGTTTTTTTTTTTTAATCAGCATGTCAGTGCCAGAGGTGAAACTTCCTTCTTTTATGCTGTTTTTGTGATTACATAAGAACAATTTGGGGTCCTGCGAGGAGAGGAACACTGCCATGAAGCAGGCAGTGCATGCAGCAAACTGCATCTGCTTTCCTGCATGGTACTATAAAGCATCTTTGGGCTTTTTGGATCTTCAAATAAATGAATGGGGGGAAAATAAAGATGACAACATCAAAACAATTAGAAAAGACAAGATATTTCTTCAGTAACTATCAGTTTTAACAGAAATGCTGAAATTATAAAGCATATCTTTGGCTTCTTTTCTCAATTTGCCTGGAAAATTCAAACTGGGTTCTGGCTTTAGTTGTGGGTTTTTTTGTGGCAAGGAATTAAAAACAAGTGCAAAGAATAGCTGTAGATCAGTGATGATCTAGATGATGTTACATGATGCCAATATCAATGTGCTCGATTTCAGATTTATTTGTTGGAATAAATTGAATTCTGTCACTGTGGACATTTGAAAATTCAGAATTTTTCTAGAGAAGTCTTTTATAAAATGTTTATTTCATATGCTAAGTATTTGGTTTAGGCATGTGAAGCCATATTGGAATCTAACTAGTAGTTTTGGTTATATTTAGGGGATTCTGGGGTCTGGTTTTGCCCTGAAAGTACAGCAGAAGCAACGGCAGAAGCATTTCAACAGACAAATCCCAGCTGCAGCTTCTCTAATTCAGGTAAGACCCCTAACAGTAAAATGCTTAGGAGAGTGTTGGAGAGGGAGTGTGGCCTAGTAGTTAAAGTACTGACAATCACAGTTACTAGACTTTATTATAAATCTATAACTTGTGTTTAACCACTTTGTCTTTTTGATCCACTTCAGTCACTAGGAGAATTAGCTAATTGCCTGTCCCCCCTCCTATGAGTGAGCATGGGAGGCTCATATCACCTGATATTCACAGGCATAATGACACTAACTGGATGCAATGAGTCTATTTGGTGAAACAGTAAAAAAAATCTTTATCATCTTTAATTCATAATTTCCTTTTTATATTCCCTTAGGTCCTGTGCATCTGCCAAATCCTGAGGTGATGAATGTGTATACATGTACATGTATACACACACCTCAGTTTAGAAAAAAGTCCCAGCATAATATTCTATATGATAATATAAAGAATGCAATAGCATGGTGCACAAATACTAAAATGTAGCACACCGCAGAAGAAGGGAGACAGCAGTATTCTATGATGGGGGAATTCACTTTTATGAGGGTTGTTTGTTTTTTTACTGTGGGCAGGATTAGACCCCAGCTCATAGGGAGAACGCTACAAAGAACGTACTTAAGATCACTGTGTGCTGAGTGTATGTTTCCTGGTGCAAATTACGCTCGCCACAGTTATATACAGGGAAGAGTGTATTTTATTAAGCATGGTGGTGTGTGGTATAGCACAGTGATTGCAGTCAGAACCCTTTGCAATATGTTTACATTGATTGAAGATTTTGCTGTCAGTTTGATTTGCAGCAAAATCTGACTTACCTGTTCTGCAGGACAACGGTAACTGTTTATTCACTGAGATTATTGGTTTGGGGTTTTATTATAGACTCTGTGGCGGTGCTATGCAGCAGAGAAATCCTGCAGTTCTACCGCAACATGGAAGATCTACGTTACATCAGCCGTGCAAAATCCCAAAAAACCACCAGCGCCATCTAGCCCTAGCCTGAGAAAACAGGTAACGGAGAGTTGGCAGAGCTCTATTCTGTTCTTGCTTTTAATTTGATTGGGATAACTTTCCAAAACCCTTAGGAAGTAACCAAAAAATTTGAAGAGCTGAAAGGCACTTGTAACGGGACATCTGATTGTTTTCCTCATGCCACAGCACAATTAGTTTAGTTTTCCTTAAAATATTCCTAAGGGACAAATGTATTCTAATTTTAAATTTGACCTGGTGGTCAGACAGGTGCCAGTTCTCCTTTTTTTTTAATGCGCATTGAAGTTTCTTCTACCTTCTCAAAGGGTAGTGTAAGTCAATGATGACACTTTCCCATTTTGCATTCATTTTGCATAGTAGTTCATACAGGAAGAAAGGAGAAAACTAGTTTAAAAATTTATGTTCACATTCAACATGTGGCTGACAGTATCTATGCTTTTCTTGCTCAAGTACTTCTCTCTGCGGTACTTTTATTTGGGTCTGTGTGTAGAAATTTGGGCAAATTCCTGAGGTGTGGCTGCAGTAAAGTGGAATAGTGTTTGTCTACACAGGTGGGATTGCCTAAACATAGTTATGTAGTTTCATTGGCAACTTTGCCTAGCCTTCAGCACCCCTTCTGGAAAGGCCCAGGTCTGTGGCAGGTCTAGCTCAGATACCCAGGGTTTCTAAAGTGATGTTAGAGGCCTGGTTTTAGGCAGTGAAACCCCACTGATGCCTGTTGCCCAGCAGAGAATTGCAGTACGATTTCCCCACAGCATGTGTAGAAAGCTGTATCAGCATGTGTAGAAAGCTGTATCAGCATGATCTGTGTGCATGTATATGTTTTGGTGTTACAGCAGTGTGACCTACTCAGCGTTGAGCAGAGTGTAACTTTGCCATGAGACTAGCCTCTTCATAATTAGAGGCAGAAAAACCAGGAGGAAAGGGGTAAAGCTGACGTAAGGCTTGGGTAGTATGTGTTGCTGAACAAGCAAGCAATCCATGATGGGAGAGCTGGAAAAAACAGACAGTTTTTAGTGCCCTTAGTGTTTTCTCTAGTGAGAGGGATTTCCCTAATATATTATTAAACCTGAACTTCCCTGTGAAAAGCTAACCCTAATTCAAGAACATAGTAATGGTTCTTTCATCTCTTACCAATGGATAATCTTCTCTTGTCAAAGGAGACTAGTTCTTTCTTTCTCTACCTAGCCTCTTATTTTAAAGACTTAAATGTATACTGATCATCTTGTGCATGTTGTAGCATTTTGCTCTCCAGAGAATTCCTGGTTTCTTTTCCTGCTATGAGAGCCCATAATCTTTGCCTTTAGAAGCATTTTGATGCATGGTAGTACATCTACCATCTACAGTAAATGCCCATTTCTACCATTTTTTCATGCCCCGTTTGATTAATTTCAAGTATGCTTTTGTTTAATTGCTGCAGAGCTGAACAGAAGAATGAATTCCAAAAGGCTGAATGCAGACCATAATAAAATAAGAATTGGTTTACTTAGAGCAAGTAGCATAGTCGCGTTTGTGAATATACTGAGCCTGCAGCTGTTTGTGTTGATATGTGCGAATACTAGTTCTCTCTGATGTTTATGTCTGCTAACTGCTTAGTGGTCGCATCAGAGGCCAGAGTATTTTGCAGAATTGAGTGCAGTGGCCCTAGATCTCAGCTCCTTGTCAGAAGGTTACTGGAGCATCAGGCAAATTAAGTATGCCTCTTACCTCTGGTTTGAGGTGTGTGAGTAGTAGAACCAGGTGTGACTAGAGCCAAAGGGTAGATAGTCATGAGGACTGGAAATAAATGCTATGTTGTGAGAAGTAGTATTTCTATAGCTAGGTGGTGGCAGCATCCAGGAGCCAGACAGCACAGGCCATGTAGTCAGTATATGAGTGGCTGTTATGTTGGTCACTTCTAGTCACAAAGGCAGGTGGAGACCAGCCTTGCTTGGAACCAGTTAAATCCAAACCTTAATTTTTTGTTCTTATGTACCAATTGTAGGGTGTTTATTAGGTTGCCTCTTAGGCTTCTAAAATTAGGAGAACTTCAATGTTGGAGGCAGGAGGAAGGATTTATCTTCTCTTGATGTGCCTGATTCAGCCTTTTTGGTAAAAGGTGAAACTTTCTTTAGTTGAAAAGTCTGCACAGTGCCTAGCTCATAATTCAAAGTCTATGGTTATGTTTAATTAGAGCTTTAGAAAGATGTTACAGCCAAGCTGTTATATACTCAAGTGATTAATGTTTTGGGTGCCTTGAGTTTTGGACCCAGTTTGAGAAATTTTACTTGAGACCTGACTTTCAGAATGTAGTAGACATCTTCTGAGAATCACATTCTCACCAGATTTAAGTTAATAATACAGAATCAGCCACTTTGAAAACATTAACCAAGGTTGTAATGCTTTCACTGAATTTCAGTTGTATTCTTTAAAAAAAAAATAAATTGCAACCTCAAATGAATTTACTGTATAGTGAAGTTCACATGTTTACTTTTCTGTTTTTTATATTATCTTCTGATATCATCCCATTTCTACTACCACAGGCTAGAAGATACAAAAGAAAAGGGAAACTAGGCTGTGGTAATGGTTCTGCACCTGTAATAAACCCAGGAGAGAATGCCTTGTCTATTCCACAGATCACTTATGATCACATTGATGAACAAGAAGACAAAAAAGACGTGTCTTTCTACATTGATGAGCCAGAAGGTAATTCACTTATGTTCAGGTTAGCGTTTTTTAAGAGACAATGTTAAAGTGAATTGAACTGATGAAGGGAAAATTTCCATGAAAAAGTAACTTTAATCAGTAAAGCAAGATGCCTCAAACCAAAGACAATTGCATAACAAAAACAGGGGGACATAAATTAAAGGAAATCTTTAGGTTCATGTGGTATGAACATCAAAAGGGCTTTCTTTGTTTACCAAAGTTAATTCAATTAAGATGTTGGATACACTGTTAATTCTACTTTTTTGAACTATCTCAGAGGTGGATGGAAAGCTTCCTCAGATCTACCCCACCTTTAAACTTTACCTCACATAGAGCCTGAAGAAAGGAAAATGAAACAGGAAAAATATCTTTACTTTTTTACATTACCCTCTTAAACATTGTGCAAATAAATTGTGATAGGAACAGCTAAATATTTTTATGCCTACGTCAGCCAAGAGTTTTTGATAAGTGGGATTTTTTTCTTGCTTCACTTGAAATATTGTCTGTTGCTATAAGTGGCTGTTGTATCTCAACCTGGAAACTGGCTGAATTTCATTGCTGAGCTAAGATACTGCTTTGTTTGTAAAATCCTTTTTTTTTAATTGTTTGTAGTGGAAATGTGGGTATGAAATAGTATTGTTTACTATAATGTGAGGGGTTTTTGGAAAGCTAATTTTTCCACCTTTGTATTGATTTTCTTTGTCCGATGGGGTTGGGGAAACTTGTGCTAGTTCTGGATCTGCTGAATCTTTAGCTCAAACGGGGAGACTGTTTCCTCATAGTCTGAGGAGTTATGTTCCATGCCTAGAGGGGCATGCAAAGCCTTGCCAAGTTAACTGAGGTGTCCAAAGGTGCTGGCCCTAGTCAAAGGTATGTTATGTGGTGCTTTGACTTAGGTTTTCATCTGTCTTTTATAGAGAGTTGATGTTCAGATTTATCAAATTGCTGCTTTTATGTGACATTGAAGCTGACACACAATTTCAGCCTGGAGAGAGTATGGCTGTAGTCTTGACATGATGTTTTTTTAATAAAAAGTACTTTAAATATTTTTGTCCGCGGGGGAATACGTAGTGTCTTCTGTATAGAATGCAATCAAAGGGTAGGAGTTTCACTGGGTTGCTCTGACTTTGCATTGACAATACAATCTAGCAACTCTGTAACCGATGTCATCCATACTACAGCAGTCAGTCAGATGTGGAATAGCAGGGATCTGAGAGCTGTGGCATACTGAGGCACATCTGTAAGGGGTAGGAGCATCTGACTCCCACAGGGATTAAGAAAGACCTTCAAGCCCCTGCTTCATGCAACTGATAGCCATGAACTGCCATTGTGGGAGGAATGATGGAGGTTTTCATTACCCCTCATGTTCTTCCTTCTGTTTTATAATCTTATATAAAGCTTGCACCTGTCACTGAGGTCAGAATGCTTTTCAGCAATGGTGGTATTTTAATTGTTGTTTGGTATTTCCAGTGCTTTCATAGGATTCTGGGAAAGGGGATGAAGGGTGTGATTTATAAATAAAGTTGCTGCTTTAACTACATGTCTCTTAACAGAATACTATGTTCATTCTCAGCATGTTTATTAGAGCTGTGCAGCTTCCCTTGCTGACCATGTAATAGTAGATTTTGCCAAGTGTGTTTTGATCGTGTGGTATCAGTCAGTGATGGACAGAAGCAGCAAAGTGTTGTGTAACTTATAATGGTACTGAAGGCAGTTAAGATGTTGAGGACTATGTTGTCTGTATTCATGACTCTGCCAGTGCACGCTTATTCATTTATGTTCCTTAAATGTTCATAGGTGGTCTGAGCAAAGCTCTGTGCATCAGAGGAAAGATTGAAAAGACAAGCCTGTATCTTTTTTTGCCTGGCAGCTTGGTAACAGAGGAAAATGAAAGAATTTTTTCCACTTTTTCTGAAAAATGTTTTCTTGTACTTTTATTATAGCTGGTCTAATTTAGTCTTGTTCTGTGAGACAGCCATGCATATTGTTCCCTTACCAATTAAGTTTTATCTATTTTTCATTTTCTTTCACATTTGCTTTAGCCAGTGTCAGGAGTAAATCACACTTCATTTGATTTTCTGATTCATTCCTTCTGTTGCAAAGCTTCCAGGAATGTAGTTGGCTAACTCGATTGCTCAATTGACTGGACATTCTTGACACCTCTCAGAAGTTTAAACGTGATTTCTCTCAGTGAAGTTCTTCTTGCCAGAATTAATAGGCTTCTATTCTTGGGAAATGGAAGTACTAGGCTTTGAGCCTGTAAATGGGGATATTTTCTTCCTCTCTTAAAAAGCTGAAAGTAGGAAAGGCAGAGAAAATGTTAATTAAAAAATGCAATTGAAAAGGGCCATGCCAGCTTCTATTTCGGTGTTGCTATAGTGGAATATTTTATTAATTGGTTGTGGGGGCTGGATGTTTTACAGATTATGGCAAACTTCAAGGTTGAATTAGATCACTTTTATAGGCCTGACCTAGGAGGAGCAGAGCTGTTGCTTTAAAACAGCTCTTCTAGCCTGCTGCTCTGTTCAGATGTGAGAGAGGCTGTAGGGAGACCTGAAACAAATGCCTGACAAGGGCAGGCAACAGAATAACAGTCCCACTAAGAAAATTCCTTGTTCTGTGCAGAAATAGACTGAAATTAAGTTAAAATTTCCTTGATAAAGGGGAGATTTACCTTAATTCAGGAACTGCATTGTGTGAGCATACCTTTTTTTCATGAAAACAAGGTTTTTCTTAGCATACACTGTTCATATATCCATGTCTACCCAGCATCCTCTTGACTTCCTCAAAACTTGGTTAGGAGGCATATCTTTCAAAGCTAGGCAAAAATGCTTTCCTCTTCTATATGAAGAAGTTTTGAGAAAAGGGAAGCCTTATAAAGCCTATCGATACGATCAACATTAAGGTTTGAGATACTTGTGTATGTAATAAAAAACATGTATTGGATAGTACATAATGTAGAAACTAAACCTTTACATACTACAAATGATGGAATCTTGAAACAAACTTGATAACCTAAAAGGAAAAACGTTCCTGACTTCGTTCTCGACCATGCATGGGGTTTCAGGTGTGACTAAAGTAGAGTGCTCTGTAACCCTAAGAACTTGACCATCCTTGCAGGAATGGAAAGGCCAAAAGTCTTCCACAATAATAGTTTCCTTGTTTGAAGTCAAACCTCTCAAAATGAGGAAGCTATTTAGAAAGAAATTAAAAAGAAACAGCTAAAACAAACATTGATTTAAGAAAAACAATTCTGGAAAATAACTGTGATGCTGAAGATACTCTAGTGCAGTATATTCTTTTCACAGGTATCTATTGCTTCTACTGAGGAACTCTTTCGTACCAGGGTGTATTGTTTAATTTTTTCATGTAGTGATTTAAAACCTTCAGTGACTTCATCCTCACCTGAGATCATAGCCATAATTGTTCTCTATAGTCTTGTAATTGATCTTTACCTGTACTTCCGTCAACCACTGTGTACATATTCCCCTGCAGCAGGGTGTTATCAGGTTGACAAGACATGTATGAACTCTCTGGCATCTTTAATGTTCCTGTAAGATTTAAAGAAGGCTCGTAAGTAACTACCATCTTGATACTTGTGATAGCAAGCGTGAGTGGCAGTTCACGGAGACTGATCCAAATAGAAGAAAAACAAATAACATTTGAGTGTAACTGAAATCTTTACATGCACTTGAGTTTCATCTTCAAATAACAGCTATTCACTGCAACGTATGCTTCTCAAAATGAACTGAATAGCTGTTTCATAATGCTTTTTATTAGGGAAGGAAAAAAATTATAAAAATGTGAAAGTTTTTGGACCTTGAAAGTCAGCCTCCTGGGACATCTCCAGCAGATGGAATATATTATTCTCTGTCAGTTATTGTAGGTTGTATACACAACTCATTACTGTAAAATTTGTCAAAGTCACAAGACTCTCACAGTGATAAATCTCCGCTGGGGTAAAAACAAAATTCCCTATTTATCACTTTTCTGTGCTTTTCTGTTTGCTTTTTAGAGTTTCTTGCATGCTGACATATTCCACCCCACACCCACACCCCCCCCACCCTCATATTTAAAGCAAAACTGCACAAGAGTAACTTTTCACCAGGAGGGGGGGAAAGAACTGTAACTTTCAATGATCCCCAGAATACCTTTGTAAGCCCTCTTATATAAAGTGTGTAATAGTGTTAATGTTGATTTATTCTGTCTGTAATGCTAGTTTAGATGCTGACATTCCAGAATTCACCTATCTAGTACTGGGTTGGTTGTTCCTGGAAACTGGTTGCATTTCCATTGGGGAAAAAGGGCTGCTTTCCCTCAGTGGTGTAGATGGATTACAATCTGCAGTACATATAAAGAAGCAAACATTTTAAATGAAGCGGATTCATAGATTCCAGTGCTGACAAGCTGAGTGAAAGGTGAGAAAAATCATGTGGCTAAAATTAACAGAATAAAGCACACCCCAAAGCTTTTGAGGGTCTGCATAACTGTCAGTAAATCAGAAAAGCATAAAAGTAAAGATATGCTCCAAATTAGCAAGAGAGAGTATCCAGATACCATGTTTCTGAAAAAGTCATGCTCTTAAGAAGGTGAGTTTAGCAGATGCTGGTGGTTTTGCAGTGAGAATCTATATTCAGCATAGGGCTGTTTAATGTCTAAATTTGTCAGTCAGTTCAGGACCTGTAGGTACTAATGGTACTTGTCTGTGAGTAGGAATTGTGGAAACATACCTGTGTGCTTCTACCAGAAAGTTTTCAGTCTTTACTGTTTCAGCCCTGGCTGTCCTGAGTGAGAACTTTCAGTGAATTCTGTGGTTTATCTTGCATGACCAAAGTGGATGGTAGAACTGGGGGTGGTGGGTGGTGTAAGGGGAGTTGGAGGCTGAGAGGAAGATAACAGCTGCCTCTGCCAAACTCACTCTTACTTCTGATTAAATCTGGCAGCTTTTGAGGTTTAAAAATTTATTTTTGTTCTGCATTTATTCAACTCCCTGTTCAGCC